CACTAAAAATATTTTGCAACAATTTGCTACGTTGTGCTTCCGATTTAGGCTTCTGTATATTGTGTGTCTCCAAAGCAATCATTATGTCAAAGCCATCCACTTTCACCAACTTGCCATCTCTGATCATCAGCCAATACAAATCATTCGATTCTTTATTTTCTCCATTGATCTGTAAAACAGCTCTTCCACTTAAAAGATTATAGGCTTTTATGATATTGATGTCATTGGGGTCTTGGAATAACGGAACATACATTCTCATTTCGAACCTTCTGGAGTCAGGGAAGCCGTCGATAGATTGTTCGATAGACTTATTTTTCCAGTGTTTAAGCATAAGCAGCCTGGCTGTCTGCCTTACTTCCATTTCTTCATGACGGGTATGGTTGAGTAGGTCCATATAAACATCAGCAATCCCAGGTAAACTAAGCAGCTGTTCTATTGGCAAATTCCAATCAATTTCTGAAAGCGATTTATCAAGTTTGAAGCTGTCAAAGTTGCCCATTTTAACGGGTGGTATGGGTACACTCAATTTGACAGCCTCATATCCATGCAGCTGAATAGTATCCGCATTTTCTTCTTTTTCGAAATGCAGCTTGAAGGAGACAGAATCCTTACCGAAGTCAATATTTGATGTGAAAAAGGCATCAATACCGTCATTGGTATTAAACATGTCTTTGGCTGCTTTTATAACTTCCAGATCCAGTAGGCCCAGTTGTTCAATATATTTTCCTATCGCTAAAATATCCTTCGCTTCAATCATCTCTAACATGTATTTAATGCATCATTATTGCACATCTTCAGTATTCCATCTGCTCCTTAACCATACCTTTTGCCTTTGCCCTGGTTGCTATTCTTCTGCGGCCAGGTTACTTTCTGGTTTCCCCAGGAATTTTTTTTTTGATCACCATTAGCATTTGCTGGCGTTTCTATCTTCACTACTGCTACTTCCTGCGTTTTCTCCTGCCGTGAAATCAGGTTCATACCTGCATCCAAAATATCAACTTCACCGATCTCCGGATTGACTGACAAAAAACCTTTTTGAACTTTATCCTCATAGAGCACGGTAACTTCAATCAGTTGCGCTTTTCTCAGGTCCTTTTCAATGTTTGTACGATAGGTTTCGCTCTCCAGTTCCTTGACGGGCAAAGGCATATTTTTGAGTTTATCCATCAGATCAAATGGACGCTTCAGGTAAT